CTAATGGCACTTTTTGCCGTAAAAAAAAGTCTTGACCAACGGCGAAAAACTACCAACGACGTTCGTCTGGAACATGTCCATGTGCCTGGAGCACGGCCTGAGCGTGCGGCCCAGCCACTCCACGACTCAGTGTGCCATTGTTTACAAGCTGTTGCGGTTGGTTTCCACGTGTGCCTCCCATATATTTTGGATTATTCCACTGATTTTAGTGCTTGCAACTACTAAATAAGCCACCATGGGCCCCAAGAAAGCTTCTAGTGCCAAGCCTGTGTTAAAAAGGGTGAGAATTACGATGGAAATGAAGGAGGAGATCATTGAAAAATATGAGAGTGGAGTCCATATGGCTGAATTGGAAAGGCAATACAACAAATCACATTCAACCATCAGTACTATCTTGGTGAACAGACAGGCAATCAAGGAAGCTGTTGTTGTGAAAGGTTCAAGTATGTTTTCAAAATGGAGACTGCAAATAATTGAAGAGGTAGAGAGACTGTTATTGGTATGGATAAATGAAAAACAATTATCAGGTGATAGTGTTTCTCAGTCTATAATTTGTGAAAAGGCAAGGAAGTTGCATAATGACCTCATTAAGAAAATGCCTCAAAATAGTGCTGCTGCTGATGAATTTAAGGTCAGCAAAGACTGGTTTGAGAGATTTAAGATTCGAAGTGGCATACATAGTGTGGTAAGGCATGGTGAGGCAGCCAGTTCAGACAAAAATGCGGCTGAAAAATATGTGAAGGACTTTAAGGAATACATAGAGACTAAAAACTTAAAACCTAAACAAGTGTTTACTTGTGATGAAACAGGCCTGTTTTGGAAGAAAATGCCAAACAGGACCTACATTACTCAGGAGGAAAAGGCACTCCCAGGACATAAGCCTACGAAAGACAGGCTGACATTAATGTTGTGTAGTAATGCTAGTGGTGATTGCAAAGTGAAGCCTTTATTAGTGTATCACTCTGATACTCCCAGTGTTTTCAAGAAAAACTATATCATCAAGGGTAATTTGTGTGTGCTGTGGAGATCAAACAGTAAGGCATGGGTCACTAGGGAATTTTTCTTGGACTGGTTTTATGGTGTGTTTGACCCCACTGTGAAAAATTACCTCCAGGAAAAGAAATTGTCACTCAGGTGCCTCCTGGTAATGGACAATGCTCCTGCTCATCCTCACGACTTGCAAGAGGAAATTGCAGGGGAGTTTGGTTTCGTTAAGGTGAAGTTTTTGCCTCCTAATACAACTCCTCTCCTCCAGCCCGTGGACCAGCAGGTCATTTCAGACTTCAAAAAACTCTACACAAAAGCAGTGTTTCAAAAGTACTTTGAAGTGACCTCAGACACTCAGTTGACCCTAAGAGAGCTTTGGAAAGATTACTTCAATATCCTCAATTGTGTAAACCTTATAGGTAAGGCTTGGGAGGGAGTGACTAAGAGGACCTTGAACTCTGCTTGGAGGAAACTGTGGTCAGAATGTGTGGAACAGAGGGGTTTTGAAGGGTTTGGGGCTAACCCTCAGGAGGCTATGCCAGTAGTGGAAGCTCTTGTGTCATTGGGGAAGTCCTTGGGGTTGGAGGTTTGTGACGAGGATGTGGAAGAGTTGGTGCAGAACGACAAGGAAGAACTAACCACTGCAGACCTGCAAGAGTTTCAGGTGCAACAGCAACAGATCGCATCTCAGGAATGTTCTTCAGAGCAGGATGAAGAAAGACGGAGGAAGATGACTTTGTCAAGGATTAGGGAAATGTGTTTACAAAGGTGCAAGCATTTATCGATGAATTTTATCCTGTCACAGAAGTTGCAAGCCGCATTGGCAACATGTACAATGACACTCTTGTGTCCCATTTTAGGGAAATCCTAAGGGCACGTGAGAAACAGAGCTCTCGGGACAGTTATTTTGTGCGACAGGGGTCCAGTGACTCTGAAGCTGGTCCTAGTGGCATTAAAAAACCAAGAAGGGAGGTCTTTGTGGAAGGGGATTCTCCTTCCAAGCAATAGACAATCCTGTCCTCCCCTGCTGCTGGCACATCACTCATCAACATCTCCACAATAAAGGTAAGTGGTATTTAATTATTGGTTATTTTGCATGTCCCATTCGTTTTCATGTCAGGAAATGTATATTTCATGTAAAAATTTTTTTTTATTTTTTTCAGACTTTGGGGTGTCAGGAACGGATTAATTTTATTTCCATTATTTCTTATGGGGAAAATTAATTCGACCAATGGCAAATTCGACTAACGGCAAGCTCTCTGGGACAGATTAATGCCATTGGTTGAGGGTCCACTGTACTTGTTTACCGACATTTCGTACTTACGGCAGGCTCTCTGACCAGTATTTTCATACCTAAATAATGTATATTAGAGCTGATTTCCTCTATTCTGTTTATTTCAATATACAGTATACTACTGTATAAATATTTAAAAATGTACCAGAAATGTTATAAATGGTGAAAAGGTGACATTAAAACAATTCAAATTCAAAGTTTATTCTCTATAAAGATTACAATGTTGAATTTACAGAATTTGGTTGTGTGGTTTACATGTAGTTAAATAATGATTACAGAGTGTACCACTAGAACGCCTAGCATGGCTAGGCATTTCGGGCAGACTTAGTTTAATTCTTTATTTTAAAATATTACAAATTATGAGGTAAGTTGGTATTATGGCTAAGTGACTAAATACTAGTTTGTGAGTTTAGCAATGTGAATGCTTTTGTTTTGGCACAGTACATAGTTTCAGTATTGGAGTATCATAGGATTCATTATTTTAAGATTGAGATTAATATTTCTGTTTATGGTCAATTGGGTGAGTGAGTGTAAGTGTGAACCACCAGGTGGTATTCGTGTAGTTAGTTGATGGGGTTTATCAGGGAGATAAGATGTTTTCTAATGGTAGTTTTGAAGGTGATGAATGTGTCTGCAGTTCTAGAGTTCTCAGGTAGGGTGTTCCAGATTTTAGGGCCTTTGACATACATTGAATTTTTGTAAAGGTTTAGTCGGACATGGGGAATGTCGTAGAGATGTTTGTGTCTGGTGTTATGCCTGTGGGTTCTGTCACAACTATCAAGAAAGCGTTTTAGGTCAAGGTTGATATTGGAGTTTAAGGTCCTGTAGATGTAGATTGCACAGTAGTAAGTGTGGATGTACTGAACAGGGAGTAAGTTTAGATCTATGAAGAGTGGGGGTGTGTGTTGCCAGGGATGGGATTTAGTGATTATTCTTACTGCAGCTTTTTGTTGGGTTATTATTGGCTTTAGGTGTGTTGCTGCAGTTGATCCCCAAGCACAAATAGCATAGGTGAGGTATGGATAAACAAGTGAGTGGTATAGTGTGAGAAGGGCATTTTGCGGCACGTAGTATCGTATCTTGGAGAGGATCCCAACTGTTTTGGATACTTTTTTGGTTATGTGTTGGATATGGGTGCTGAAATTCAGGTTGTTGTCAAGGTATAGGCCTAGGAATTTGCCCTCATTATGTCTGGTAATTAGAGTGTTGTCGATCTTAATGTTAATTTGTGCATCTCCTGCTCTGCTACCAAACATAATATAGTAGGTTTTGTCAGTGTTAAGCATAAGTTTATTGGCTGTCATCCAAGTCGATATTTTGATCAGCTCCTCGTTAACAATGGTGTCAAAGATGGTTGACACAAACTCACTACCATTATATTATGCTCCTCACTTAGCGACGAATTCATTTAACGACGTGGTTTCCGGAACAGAGCTCCATCATTAAGTGAGGAGAGTCTGTATTTATGTTGCAATCTTAGTTCAAGGCTTTTCCCAGTTTGACCATAGTAAACTTTATCACATTTTTTTACAAGGAATCTTGTAAATACAGTCGTCAGCATTTTGGGGGGAATTTTTAATCAATTTTTTTTTTTTCACTATCAAAGATTTTTTAAAAACTATTTTGATTTTTAATTTCTTAAGTAGAGAAGGTATATCAAGAAAGTTTTCATGTTAAGGGAGAACCAACATATTCTTGGTTGAATAAGATTGTTTGTCCTATTTTGTATTGTAAAACATATTTCTAGCAATTTTAAAGGATTTATCAATACAGTGTTTTGGGTATTTTAGATTATTAGCTATTTCATAAATCAAGATTTCCTCGTCTATGAACTCTGGGCTACAGATATGCAAAGCTCTTAAAAACATTGATGAGAATACAGAAAGTTTAACTTTATCAAGATGTGAAGAATAATAGTTCACATAAGAACAATTATTTGTTGGTTTTCTGCATACAGTGGTACCTCAGGATACGAACAGCTCAAAACTCGAACATTTATGTAAGTGCATTTATGTAAGTGCTTTTGTAAGTGTATTTTCCTTATGGGAACAAATTCATTCGGTATCGGCATTCAAACAGCCTTCTGGAATGAAAAAAATTCATATCCCGAGGTACCACTGTATTTGGAATTTAAAATCATGGTTCCCCTTAATAATTAATACATCTAGAAAAAGCGGTTAATTATTTTGTTCAAACTTGACAGCCCATAGGGTGTTTGCCTGACTTGAGAACCCACCATCTCTCAGCATAAATGGTGGGGATATTTCCTCTTGTTTAAATTTGATGACATGGAACAAATTTTGGGTATGAATTGCAGAATATGAAAAATAGCTTGAATACTTTTACTTGCTTTGTGATTATAATTAATTTGATTATAATGTGATTATAATTATTACTTATTATAATTAGAGTATAATTCTTCTCCATGGAAAGTGGAGAAGAACTTTTTACTCAGATTAGCAGTGTATTTTTTTTAGGCAAGAGCGAGTATGTGGTAATTAAGTACTGTGTACAACCATAAAACTCTTATTCTAACCATAACCTTGTGTATAGAAATGCAGATTTATCATTATACTTAAGAATTACAGAATTCTGCCATCTATTTTCAGTCAGTCTTATTCGATTAATTCTCTTACTGTGCTATGCATACACAAGAAACATCAGATATTTAATATTAGACTTAAATTTGAGCATAAATATTTTTAAAATTTTGTTTCAGGTCAGTCAGTCACACAAAAAATGGAAAATTGCCCCTCCTCTCCAAGCAGCTGTTATTCTATAGTCAACATACAAAACTGTCACAGAGAAAATGGTATGACTGGTCTTGTGTCTGCAGGTGAGATCACCATGAAGATTGAGAATGTTGCAGAGGAGAATTTTATTCAAGAATGCTTAGCAATCAATGAACTGGAAAATGATGACGATCTGGCCGACATAAAGAAGGATATTGAAGAAAGCGATAAAGATAGTAATGATGAAAACATAGGTGAGGGTTCAAACAATAGAAGGGGACTGAGAAGAAAAAAGAGCAAAAGACCAAGAAAAAAGTATGAGAAAATTCAGCGTCTCACCAGAATTTATACTTGTGTTGACTGCCCAGAGACATTCTCCCGGCTCAGTCAGTTACGAGCTCATTCAAGGGTGCACACAGAGGATCAAACAGAGGTTTGTGTATTCAGTGTTCAAACTTTGTATCTTTTTTTTTTTTATTATTTATCCCACAAATGGTATCCAGAATTTATGTGAAATACACAGTTATGTTGACCAAGGAAGAAGTGTTAAGCTAGAAGTAATAGCATTAACTCTGAACACTGGCACACCTAGAAATAAAATTTTCTTTTTTTACATTTGAAAACATCTATTTTTCCAAGTAGAATTAAATAATAATTTTTTTTTTAACGAACTTTGATTTGTCAGCAATGTGCTGCTACCCTATTCTATAACAGTAAATAAACAGTGGCAACAACAGCTAGCTATGTCTCTCTTGTCATATTCCATTATGCAGGATGGAATATGAGAGGGCTCATACAAGGTATTAAAATCTGTTAGCCTGAGCCAAAAGACTTCAGTGGAAGATGAGGATATCGTCTAGCATTCCTGCAAGGGTTCATCAACTATGAGAGCTTCAACGGTTTTCTTCCAGCATAGTCATCTCTCAGGATAGACTTCCACATACACAGAATTAATGGAATTTTTATGAAGAGATCTCCATCATCCCAGAGCAGGGGCAAGAGAAGTTATACACAGGAGGCAGAGAAAAGAAAAAAGAGGGAAGATTAATATGGATGTCATTAGATATTTTCCTGGGAAATAGTGCCCCTTCCTCCTACGTCTGTAACCTAAGCCTTGCTTAGCATAGTAACCTACCTCCTATTCCACACATTTGCAACATCTGCCAAATGGCTTCCTCTATCCATCCTATCATGTGCTTTTTCTAAATCTATTAATACAACAGCTCTTTACCCTTCAAGCAGACATCAGCCAAATCTTCAAATGGGTCACTCAAAACAATATGAATTTCAATGAAGAGAAATTTTAATTACTCAGATATGGAAAACTTGTGTCAGGGTATACAACAAATTCTAACCATACAATAGAGCAAAAAAGTAATGTGAAAAACCTGGGAATGATAATGTAAGAAGGTCTCAACTTCAAAAACCTCAACAGTGTATCTACTGCATCTGCTAGAAAAATGATAGGATGGATAATGAGAACCTTCAAAACCAGAGACGCCAAGCCTATGATGATTCTCTTCAAATCGCTTTTCTCTCTAGGCTGGAATACTTCTGTACACTAACTGCCCCCTTCAAGGCAGGCAAAATTGCTGACCTGGAGAGTATACAGAGAACTTTCACGGTACACATAAGTACGATAAAGCGCCTAAATTACTGGGAACGGTTGAAGTCCCTTGATATGTATTCCCTGGAATGTTTACCTGGAGTTTACCTAGAGAGAGTTCCGGGGGTCATTGCCCCCGTGGCCCGGTCTGTAGGCGAGAAAGATGCATGATAACATACACTTGCAAAATCCTAGAGGTATTAGTACCAAACTTGCACAGGAAAATCGCTCCCTATGAAAGCAAAAGACTTGGCAGTAGATGGAACATTCCTCCAATGAAAAGCAGGGTAGCCACGAATACACTGAGAGACAACTCAGTAAGTGTCAGGGGCTCAGGACTGTTCAACTGCCTCCCAGCATACATAAGGGGGATTACCAATAGGCCCCTGGCTGTCTTCAAGAAGGCACTAGACAGGTATATAGTACCTCACCAGCTGGACTATGGTTCGAATGTCAGTTTGTGTGGCCAGCTGTAACAGCCTGGTTGATCAGACCCTGATCCACCATGAGGCCTGGTCTCAGACTGGGCCACATGGGCTTTGACCCCAAAAACCCTCACCAGGTATACCTTTGATGGGTTTACTATATGCTCGTACCTTTGCTGGTAAAATTAAACAAAAAAAAAAAAAAGTGGGTTTTCCCAAATTTATAGCAAACAGAATTATGATTGAATTTTAGGATTCCTTTTCTTTTTTGCTTGATAATTAAATCGTATTTATTTTTTTTATGTAACCATATGGTGCATGTGTGGTTAGCTCATATTTTTGGTAAACACTGATTTACATATTATATTGGGTTTGCTTTATGCTAGGGATGCATCTATCACATAAAGCAAGGGACATCTAGATAATACAATATAATTGAATCACATTTTAAGATAATGTAGTATTGTAGGACAAATGGACTGTTCTGTTATATTATTACTTATATATACATATATATATATATATATATATTTTTTTTTTCAGAAATATGAGTGTGATCTTTGTGAAGAAGTGTTTGATATGCTGAAACGTCTTATGTCACATAGAAAGAAACACCACCGAGCTAGTTTGTCTTGTAAAATGTGCACAAGCAAATTTACTCATTATGCTAGTTATCGAATACACATGAGAGTTCACAAAGGTGAGAAACCTTATGTGTGTCAGGAATGTGGTGCTGCATTTGTACAAAGTGGTCATCTTAATATTCACAAGAGAACACACACTGGTGAAAAACCTTACACATGTGATATTTGCAACAGTAATTTTAAGCAAATTTCACACTTGAAGACTCATGTTAGAACCCATACTCAGGTTAAACCGTATCAGTGTGATCAGTGCGATGCTTCGTTTACACAAAATAGTAGTTTGAAAAGACACCGCCGGTCCCACACTGGTGAAAAACCATATAAGTGTGCATTCTGTGATATGACCTTTGTAGTGAAGAGCAATATGCAAAGACATTTATATACTCACACAGGTGAGAAACCATACCAATGTGACTTATGCCCAGCCTCTTTTGGCCAGGCAATTGATTTAAAAAGGCACAAGATCAGTCATACAGGGATAAAGCCTTTCAAGTGTGATCAGTGTGATGCAGCATTCAGTCGCAAAAATAATCTCAAGTGGCACCAAATGACTCATAATGGCAACACTCCATTTAGATGTGATGTCTGTCAGGTTGGATTTTCTTCTCCTGGTGATCTCAAAGTCCACAAACGAATTCATGCACCACCAAAACCATTCCGCTGTGAGTCCTGCCCAGCTTCCTTTCAGCAATTTAGTTCTCTTACTCGTCACAAGATGATACATACAGGTGAGAGGCCTCTTAGAAAAAAGCCAGAAAACAAGCCAGGGTCTTTTAAAGAAACTGGAATTAAACCATATGCCTGTGAGATTTGTAATGCAACTTTCTGTGAGAAACGAAATCTTAAAAGACACATTATTTCTATGCATGATGATGTGAGAAGGTTAGTTGGAAGCCCACTTGCTGATTCAGAAATTAAGGAAGAGGGAGCACTGGACAAATTCATAAAACTACAGCAACCAGTTCAGATAAAAAAGAGACCTCCAGAACAAATCACATATACCATTAACTATCAAAATCCTGTGGTTATCACTCAGCCACATCAGCAGATACAGCATCAACAAGAAGGGCAGCAAGAAATACAGCAACAAAGTATTACCCTGCAACATGTAGTCATTCAGCAACCTATCAACACTGAGGAGGTCATAACAGGAGCTGCCCAAACCATAACTCAGATGCCACAGTTGATGCTTGCTCAAGGCCCTGGGCAGGCTCCAAAGCCTGCTAAACCTGCTAATAACTGCCAAAATCATCATGCTCATGTTTTGACCTTTATAGAAGGAAGTTACAACCAGTGGCAAACTTGGTGTTTTTGTGACCCCCCAAATCTATTAGACCAAACTAGTCAAATCATTAGCACCGTCCCTACTGCCAATGCCATAATAACAGCGCCACCCTCCACAGTCCTCCCTCCTGATGCTTCTACAACCGCAGTTACATCTGCAGTAGCTGTGTCCACTGTTACAAGTTCTCCATGTGCAACAGTAGAGCAATTGGAAGGTCAAATAATTCCTGCACAAATACAGGTACAAATTCCCATAAATAGCACACAGTCCACAGTGGTTAGGGAAGATGTGCTACGGGGATGGTTGGGTGGCTGGAGTAAGTGTTAATTGTGTGTAAAGTTTATGAGTAATATTTAAATGTATTCTGTTATATTGTTAGTGTAGTTTATCATATACTGTATTGTATAGGTTCAGTATTTTTATTTTCAGAGTTTAAGATGGCATTAGATAACATTATTGTTAATGTGGGACAAGGACCAGGAATAGATGCTCTTGTTTTATGTGTACATGTGCTTTATTTATTTTTTATTGTGTGAATTCAAATTTAGTTAGATTTATATTTCTATAGTAAAACAAAAACAAAATGATGCTTCGGTATATAGACAAAATAGGGCTACCAAAAAATTTCTATTAAGGTTTTGTATCAAGATTATGATGTAAGATTTGATATTAATCATGCAAAATACTTGAGTTACCTTACTAGTGACAAGTAAACAAGAAAGTAAATATCTATTTTATTTATAAACAAATTTCTCAATTTACATTCCACCCAAAGTAAAAGTATTAATACATTCCTTGTTATGGAATAATAATCATGGCTTGCAAGAACTTGATGAACTGGATATTTTAATAATTAATACCAGAATTTTATCAGACACACTGTATCACTGATATTTAGTGTTACAATTAGCAGCCCTGGCTACAGTGATTTTAATTTTGTCATGCAATTATTTTCCTTCTTAATCTACATTTTCGTATGGAGTAAGATAATCTGTAATGGGTTTTTATTCATCCATGATAGCACTGT